GAAGAAGGCAGATATATCCAGTTTGCCTTTAGAGGGTGATTTACTGGGGAACTTACAGACAGACATGTGGTCTTGGATGGCCGCAAGACAGATAGATCTTCACGGTGTTATCCCTGAAGACACAGGGCTTATATACCACAGGGGAAAGATACACATGCTCTATAAGGAATGTGCAGGACAATTAAAGTCAACCTTCAAGGAAAGGACAAAAATGCTGTGTACATCATAGCCTTGAATGTGTGTGATAATATCAAGGCCATCTTGACCTAAGGGCAGGATTTATGGTAAGCAGATGCTCTTTCACAGGGACAGGAGATAAAGTAGGAATCACAGGCATTCCCAGACCTGGGGTCAATCAGAAGTCAACATGGCAGACTAGCATCTAAGATGGAGTTACCTTAGCCTCCATTTGTCAATTGAAAAAAATTAAAATTCAAATAAATAAAGGTAAAACCAACTTAAAGGCTTTCAGATTTCCAGAAGAGAATGTCTAATGTGTGATGGTGGTGTCTTTCAACGGGTTTGATATGGTGAGTGCTGGGAGGTCCTAAGGCAGGAGACCTGACGTCCTGTGAGGATCTTAAAGGGTTCTGGCAGTTCTGACACCTAATAGGGATTCAAAAGATGGGCGTTGAGCAAATAAATAAACACAACCTTTGTTTCCTTCAGAACAAACAGCAGCTCCTGGGGTACTGTCCATACAAGGAGAGTGTATGCCTAGCCCGGTAGGCCGTGGAAGACCAAATGCCCCTCGTGGTGTCTGGGAAGAAACTTCTCTCTGCTGTCCATGTTTCCGTTTCTAGGACTATCAATTAGGGTCACACTCTGGGCCTCCTACCAACCCTTTGTTCACTCTGAATTTTAATGAGGGGAAGAGAAAGTGGGTATTCCCAGTTCAGCCCCTTCTTTCCTTCTTAGAGACGCAGATTTCTACCGGAAGTGTGCATTTGGGGCTGCCCTTCCTGGGGTGTTAAGTGTACAGGGGCAGACCCTCATGTGGGGAAGCCAGCAGTAGCCTAGTTGTACCACGAGCAGTGGGCGGGACTTTCTGACGAAAGGCTCGATGCCTCCTTTGCTTCCATGATCCACACTTGGAGTGTGTGACTTCCTTACTGGTTCGCTGTGGGTGACGCTGCCCCTCAGATAATCAGTGTAGCTAAATGATAGGCCTCAGCCTATGAAATGTGAAAAAGTATCAGTTCCAGACTGAGACTTTAGGAGGCATCACACATTTCTGCTTACCCTTCAAGCACTTCTGCCACAGTCAATGGGAATGGCATGCACAGGTAATCCCTGGTCCCAGAATCAGAGACATACAGGGCAGAGCTGAACCCTGCCTGCAGCCTGGAACTGAGCTGCCCTAGAGAACACAGACCAATGAGTAAGAGAAATATTTTTGCGTGTATCATAAGCCACTAAGATTAGGGGGGTTATGTGTTATGCAGCAAAAAAACCTAAGCAACACATCATCTAACCTAATGCTTAGAGGTCATATTTGGTCTCCATCTGCTGAACTCAAGCTAGGAAAGAAAGCTGTTACTTAATAAGCCTCTCAAGCCCTAACAACTTGCATCACTGTGGAAGGGTCTGTGCTTGCAAGACTCCCACGCCATTTGTACACGTCTTAGGGAGATCCTATGTCTGTAATGGGGAGCTTCCATATAGCGGGCAGAGATAAGATGATTCAGGAACATAATACTATTCTCTAAATGGGAATTGGAGAAGAAATTCAAACCATCCCGCTACCTTGTTGAGCCATTTGGAAAAGCAGGTCAGAACCAGAGATATTGGAAAGTACTTTCAAAGCTTCTGATTTTCTGAAGTTTTTCTTTCTCACCTTGGAATGTCTTCAGATGCTTGGATGGAGCTGTACTAAAAGTACCTTCTTACATGTCTGTTTTTCCTTCTGTGCTGGGAATTCATTGAGGGTAGGAACTGTGTACCTTCTTTGTAACCTTGCTCTGAGCTGGATGGATGAATAATGGGAAGGCTCTCTGACTGTAGAGCACGACGTGGGTAGATGTTTCTGGTGTTGTAAGAGATGCCCAAGCTGTTGAAACCACCTTTGCAAAATTATGACAGGAAGAGAAATCTGACATCATTGACTCCACCTTACTTCTGACCTCCAAGCTGTCCTTGGGCATTCCTGGCCAAAGGGCAAACTAACTTTGGGAGGAATTTAGTTTATAGTTTAAAGATGTAAGCAAGGATGGATAAAAGCCCTTCCCCAAACTAAACTGATTTGTGAAACTATTGAAAGGCTGCAAGGTTAAGATTCTGAGAGTGGCCTAAATTCTGCTAAGATATAGGTGTAGTTAAATATCCAGTCACGGTTCCAGCGGTCACAAGATTTGTAGCTTTCCCGATGACTCCTGTGGATAACATCACTACTGGGAAACCTAAGATTGGCTTTCTGAGATGTCTTGTCAGACTTTTGCATTTCTGAAGCCCAGATGACTCCAGCTGGACTTGTGATCATGACTCACCTGGTCTTATGACCCCACCCAGAGGCAGACTCAGTGCCCAAGGACCATTTTCTACACCCAAGGACCATTTTCTACACCCATATGATGTGTTACCAACCAGTAAGCAGCACCCATTTCCTAGTCTCCAACCCACCACACTATCCTTGAAAAGCCCTAACCGCTGGGACTTCAGGGAGACTGATTTTAGTAACGGCTTCCCTTCTCCCACATGGGCTGGCCTCACAACAACTAAACTCTTTCTTCACTGCAATGCCATGGTCTCAGTGAATTGGCTTTGTCTGTGCAGCAGTGATTACACTGTCACCATCAAATGAGAAGGCTGACAAGAGCACAGATCCCCAGCTTCCCGCATCTGCTAACTCCACGGGAGCTTTCTAGCTAAACAGATCAAATTGAGCCCCTGAAGACCATGTCGACATTTCCCTAAAATGGTGAGGCATAGCGATGTGAAATGAATTGTTCTGCACAGGAGACACTCTGTTGGTGGTCACTAAAGTAGTGTTTCCACAGCTGAGGTATGCACTTTTTCAAGGGCAAAAGAGGCTTCAGGGCAAGTGACTATATTCTTGGGAATTTTACCTGTATGCTCATTAGCCTTGTGACTCGGGAAATAAAACATAATCTCTTGGAGACCTCATTTTCTCATTTCTTATGTGGCCATTGTCCTGCCGGCCTCAGGGAACTTAAATACACAGAATAGATGCAAAATGTCTACGCTGTAGTAAGCACTTAAGAATTAAGGGTCTTTTTTTTTTTTTAATGTTTTGGCAACAGCTGGACTTTTAGCCGAATGGGCTTTTTATGACGTCTTTAGCCCATAAGCGTCAAAGTTAGTTCTATTTTGTTTCAGCACATCTTGGATTTGCCTCATTTGAAGGGATGTGAAACACAGACATGCTGATACCTGTCATTTTAAGGAGTTTTCAGAGCATGGAACATCTTTCAGTAGCATATGCGTTAGCTCGACAAACTGGAAATGAAAGTGTTAGCTTTGAACCTGAGTTCAAATGGTGCTGACCCCATTCTTGCCCTTCTAAACTTCTTGACCAATAGGGTGCTTTCCATGTGGCCTAGGCCCTGGCCATGGCTCTTTCCTTGAATGGACCTCCTCCCTGGGCTGACAGGTCACCCTTCTCTTCATCACAAACAACAATTCCAACACAAACCCTATCTTCAAAGTGGTGCCAATATCACCTCCTACAGGAAGTCTTCCTTTCAGCTCCAGGACATTTGTTCTTTCTTTCATGCCTGCTGCAGTGCAAGGAGCTTCGGAGTTAGCACTGGATTTACAACGTGGACTCACCTCTTCCCAGCTCTGTGACCTGAATGAAGCAAATGGCCTAGCCTCTCTGTGCAGCCATTTTCTCATGTAAAAATAGAATAATTACTTAATTTGTAGGGCCATTGTGAAGATTGTGTGACACAGATCCCTTATAGCAAGGGGAATATTCAATAAACACCCTTTACTTTCTTCCTTTTTTTTTTTTTTATGAGACAGAGTCTCACTCTTTTGCCTAGGCTGGAGTGCAATGGTGTGCTCTTGGCTCACTGCAACTTCTGCCTCCCAGGTTCAAGTGATACTCCTGTCTCAATCTCTTAAGTGGCCAGAATTATAGGCACACACACCACAACCGACTAGTTTTTGTATTTTTTAGTAGAGATGTGGTTTTGCCATGTTGACCAGGCTGGTCTCCAACCCCTGACCTCAGGTAATTCACCCACCTCAGCCTCCCAAAAATTATGAGACACCACGCCTGGCCTTCTATCTTATTCCTTCCATTGGCCAGTATCACTGCATTCCCTGTCTTAGTTTGAATGCTCAGGTCTTTTGCAATAAGGCTGCAGCTTGTCATTCATTCACGTAGTCATTCATTAATTCTTTCAAAAATTTTCAAAAAATATTCAGTGAATACCTGTTTGCCAGGCACTATCCCGGGCATCTGGATACACATGTGAATGAAGTAGTCCTCACAGGGCTTAACTTCAAGCTGGGAAGACAGAAAATAAACAATAAACATAACAAATTGCATCATTTTGTTTGTTAGAAGACGTTAAGGGCTATGCAAAAAGTGGGAGGAGGACGGGGGGATGAGGAGTGCTGGGGGAAGACCGGGCTGCAGCAGTGCACAGGCGGCCAGGGAAACCTCACCGACAAGGGGAGGTTTAAGCACAAGCTTGAAGGAGATGAGTAAATTTCATCCATGAATAAATAAGTGAATGAAGCAAGAAATAATTTCATTTTATTTATTTCTAAGGTAAAATAGCCCAACAGAAAGAACTTGAAACTATAAGATTTCAGGTCAGGCACAGTAGCTCACACTTGTAATCCCAGCACTTTGGGAGGCCGAGGTGGGTGGATCACTTGAGGTCAGGAGTTCAAGACCAGCCTGGTCAACATGGCGAAACCCCATCTCTACTAAAAATACAAAAATTAACTGGGTGTCATGGTGTATACCTGTGTTCTTAGCTACTCAGGAGGCAGAGACATGAGACTTGCTTGATTCGGGGAGGCAGAGGTTGCAGTGGGCCTAGATTGCACCACTGTACTCCAGTCTTGGTAACAGAGTGAGACTCTATCTCAAAAAATAAATAAATAAAAGAAAGAAAAAAACGAAAAAGATAAAAGAAACTATAAGATTTCTACCAAACTCTGATCATATCCTATTAATAGAGGCAAGGAGAATTCTCAAAGTAATTAGTCCTTAAAGTCACATGCCTTTTATAAACAGTGACATCCTGCCAAGGGGCAAGGGGAGGGCTGAATCAACAGGGAAAGTTTTAATTGACTTCCTCATGTAAATGATATTTACAAATTGCATCTGACAAGAGAAGTCTGTTTGTACAGTGAGTAATTCCTCCTGCAAATTCTCAAATGAGTTTGCCGGCTCTGACCTGCATTGTGTGGGCGGCACTCGGGAAGACTCAGAACTGAGAGGCCAACTGGGATTTTAAAGGTTTTCCTCCTTAAACTGGCACTGGGTGGCAGATAAAGAGACTTTACTTATGTGGTGGCTGTGTCCCAGGTGACCTGCCCAATGGCCACCTGCATGACTGTAGAAGGAACCATTGGCATGGCAGAAAGAACTCATAGATCAATCTACACATGGTCTTCCAGCAAACCCAGGAGGTAACAGAGATGAAGTCTTCACTCTCACTTCACCAAGGAAGCAGCAAAGTCTCAGAGAGGGCCAGTGATGCTCCAAAGTCACACAGCTACTACCCAGCAGGACTCAGCCTCAGACCCAGGTCGTCCAATGCCCATTCAGGTTCTGGTCCACTCCGGACAGGTGGACTGCAGCCACAGAGGAAGATAAGATGGAGAGAAGGACCCACCAGCTCATTCTGCTTCTCAAGCAGGGTCGTGGGTGTTCATGGACTGCCACAAACATCGCCACCTTGTTTAGCTCCAGAGTGCTGTATAGAGTGTGGACACTGGAGTCCCCATGAAAACCAGCTCATCTCACATGCCCAACACGCAAAAAGGGCCTTGAGTTGTCAGCATTGCAGCATAAAGTTTTCCAGCCGGAGAAGAAACACTTCTTAACCAGTTCAGCTCTGCAAACCTGTAGGGGCCAGACGTTGACGCAGATAAAACTGTATAGCATCCATTCTTTCCTCTTCTCAATCTCATCTGGAAAATGTCCCCAGGACATTACTAAAGCCTCTTTTGATCTGAAGGGACATCACTCTTTTCTTTTCATTCTTTCTTTCTTTTTCTTGTTTTTTTAGACAAGATCTTACTCTGTCACCCAGGGTAGGTAGAGTTCAGCAACATGACCATGGCTCACTGTAACCTTAACCTCCCAGGCTCAAGCCATCTTACCATCTCAGCATCCTGAGTAGCTGAGACTACAGGCACACAACACCATAGCTGGCTAATTTTTGTTTGTTTGTTTTGTAAAGATGGGGTCTTCCTATGTTATCCAGATTGGATTCAAACTCTTGGCCTCAAGCAATCCTTCCACCATGGCCTCTCACAGTGTTGGGATTGTAGGCATGAGCCACCATGCCTGCCTCTCACTCCATTCTTGAGGGGATTTTATGTTTGTTTCTTCATTCATTCATTCACTCATTCATTCATAAGTAGATCACTAGACCCTGGTCCTGTCCTCAGGAACCATGCCAACGTTTGTGGTACTAGGAGGGGGTAAACACTGAGAATTAAAGGAGCCAGAAGAGGGGTACCTAGCTGTGTTTGGGGTCAAGTGAGAGGTGAAGGAATGCTTCCTGGAAGAGGTGGAGCTTGGGCTGAGCCTTGAAGAATAGGGGAAGTTATCTGGGTAAGAGGTGGAAGGGAGAGAGGTAAGAGAGAGAGCATGCCATCAGAGGCCTGTAGATCTGAGAACGCCATGGGAGGCCTGTGAGCATGGTTTACACTGCTGGAGCAGGAGGTTCTGAGCCATCCCAGTTGGATGGAGCCAAGAAATAAAAGCAGAGAGATACAGGACCTTGGAAACCAGACTGAAGGAGCTTGGGCTTGATCTCCAAGAACAGCAGAGACAGCCAGTGGGGAGTGTTAAGTAGGGAAGTGACAGAATCAGATTCGTGTGTTAGGAAGACCAGTCTGGCATCCACAGGGGGAAGAGACTGGAAGGCAGAGAGGTAGGCAGGGAGGCCTGGCAGGATTTTACTCTCTCCCAGCTCAGCCTCACAAGGGGTTTCCACCAACCCTTCCATGCCAAGGAGCCCTGATGCCCTTAGCAGGATCTGGAGCCCAGACGTCTTGAGATTCTGGGCTGCAGGACCCACATGGAATCTTCACTAGATTAGCTCTCTGCTGCCCCCTACTGTCTCCAGGAGGCCTTTTGGTCCTTGCAGGCTTTTTCTAGACCTCTTAGATTCTAGCATAGGAACAGTAAACTTTTTCTATAAAAGATGAAGTAATGCAATATTAGACTTTGCAAAACATATGGCCCCCGTTGCAACTACTCTACCTTGCAGCATGAAGGCAGCCGCAGACAAAATAGAAATAAATGAGTATGGCTGTGTCCCAATAAAACCTTATTTACGGACATTTAAATTTGAATTGCCTATAGCTTTCCCAAGTCACAAAACATTCTTCTTTTGTTGTTTTTTAAAAACATTTAGAATGTGAAAACCTCAAGAACAACGACAGAAAAGAAATACCCCAATTTAAAAATGGATAAAGGACTTGAAGTGACGCTTCTCCAAAGATGATATATAAATAACAACAAGCACGTGAAAAGATGCTCAAGCCCCCTCATCATGAAAGACATGAAAACGGAAGCCACAGTGAGAGGTCAGCTCACACCTGTTGGAATGGCGATTGTTGAAACACAACGCTTATGAACAAGAATATGGAGAAATTGGAATCCTTATGCAGTTGGTGGGGGTGTGAACGGTGTGGCCGCTATGGAAAACAATTTGGCAGCTCCTCAAAAAACTCAAAATAGAATTACCATAGATCCAGAAATTCTACTTCTGAATATATACCCCCGAGGAATTGCAAACAAGCCCTCAGATATGTCTGTTGGCCCATCTTTGTTGACTCACGTTGCACTATTCACAATAGCCAAAAGGTGGAAGAGACTCAGATGTCCATCAATGGCTGAATGGACCAATAAAATGTGCTGTGTACGTACAGTGTTATTCAGCCTTCACAAGGAACTAAAATCTGACATTTGCTATACCACGTGAATGAACCTTGAGGATATTACGCTAAGTGAAGTAAGTTAGTCACAAAACAAGACAAATACTGCATGATTCTACTTATATGAGGTACTTGGAGTAGTCACATTCATAGACACAGGGAGAATGGTGGTTGCCAGGGCTTGGAGGAGGGGCGAATAGGGAGTTGTTTCATGGGCATAGAGTTTAAGTTTTGCAAAATAAAAAAGTTCTGGAGGTTAGTCTTACAACAATGTGCATATACTTAACACTACTGAACTGTACACTTCAAATGGTTACGGTAGTGCATTTTATGTTATCTATACTTCACCACAATGTTTTTTAAATGTAGAAACCACTCCAGGCTGGGATGCTCTACAGAAACAGGTGGCAAGCTAGACTTATTTGTTAGTCTGTAGTTTGCTGTCTCCTACTCTAGCAGAACAAACTCCATGGAATTCCAGAACCCTTCCTTAAAACCTCACGGCACCCCTCCTGAAGTTCTCAAAACCAACAGCGTTTTCCAATTTCCTCACAGGGCTTGGAAAGAGAACTTTCACTATTGTAACGAAATCTGACTTGTGAACTCCAAATCAGGATCAAATGAGTGGAGGCAACACAGTCTGACCCATACGGTGAGTTGGTCCCAGATCTGTTTCTGCCTTTCTCCCCCTAGCATGAGTGACAGGCACCATGAATCCTCTACAGACGCAGCCTCCAGAGGGCTCAGCTCTCCCTGTGATTGGGGAGTGCATTGTCAAGTTCTCACCTGAATGGTTTGTCAGATAACGTTCTGACTTCAGTTCTTCATTTAACACATTTACTGAGCACCCAGTCCCTGAACTAGACCTTGGGGTGCAACAGTGAAGAGGACACACAGCCCATCTCCCAGGAGCTCACAGCCTCAGGAGCATTCATGTGGGTATGTCAGGGCAACAGTGTCCTAGGGACCCGGACAGTAACTTGTTGAGCTGGAGGGCCTGAAACCCACCCAGCACTAGCCAACACCCTGGGATAGAGAGGAGACAAACATCCATATAGCAGAGCTCAAAACGTTACTGCCGGGGCCCAGGCTGGCGTAGCAGGCCAGGCTTCCCACGCTCCAAACCTGTTTTCATCTCCTTCCGGCATACAGTTAGCCTCCGTTTCCCGTTAGGTGTGACCAAGTTCTCAAATGTGGTCCATAAACTCTCCCATGGATGGCTCATCATGAACACCCCCTTTGCCCTGAAACTGGGTGTTGGAGTTGGCAGGCCACACACAGGAAGGAAGGATCTGGGTTCCCAAAACACTGCACGGAGAAGAGAGACCAGCTAATCAAAGATACCTGTCTGGGCATTTTGTAGGTGAGGAATAAATTTTAATTTTGGCAATCTACTGAGATTTAGAAGTTTGCCTATAATGTGGCTAGCGTCACTGTGAGAGATACGCTGATGTGTGACATACAGAGTGAAGACAAACACACATCTGACTTTTAGGCTCTGTGAAAAAGGCTGGTACAGAACAGAGGGAGGCGAGAGAGTGAAAGTAGACAGCAGGTGTCAGACAGCAGCTAGCCGTATCTCAACTCGGGCTCAGATTTGGGCTCAAGTCTTGGACCCACCAAGGGCCCCAAGACAAGCATTCACTTTTTGATCCTCAGTCAAGAGGGCAGCTGACTCCTGACCTTGCAGTGCTTTGAGGGGATTTGAGATCATGAGTGCAGGAGGCCTGGCCTGGCGCTGGCTCAGAGAGTGTAGTAGTGACTCCTGAGGATAGCACAGTTGCTTTCTAAGGGTGGGAATAGGCTGTGTTTCAGTTAGGATTGTCCAAATAATCTTCCATTCTGTATGCATTGTCTTGTCTGTAAATGGAGGCTGAGCTTTAGCTGTGCAGATGGACCAGCAGATGGTCATAGAGAGGCTTCCTCCATGCACCTGGAGGAAGGGACCAGCTTTGTGAAAATCCCTCCACCCCTCATCTACAGGAGTTTGCCTTCTCTAGTAGCTATTCCCTTTTAATAAAAGCATCTACAAGAACAGTCTCCATTTTTACTGCCTTTATAGGCCTGCAAAGCTCTGCCATCTACACTGAAATTTTCCTGGGCTTTTGGGTAGCCTCTGTTTCCCCAGTAGCTCTGGGGTGTTTCTTTTTGGTTGCTGTTTTTTTGCTTTGTTTTTTGAGACAGAGTCTCACTTTGTCGCCCAAGCTGAAATGCAGTGGCACAAGTTCAGCTCACTGCAACCTCCGCATCCTGAGTTCAAGTGATTCTCCTGCCTCAGCCTCCTGAATTGCTGGGATTACAGGTGCATGACACCATGCCCTGCTAATTTTTGTATTTTTAGTAGAGACAGGGTTTCACCGTGTTGGCCAGGCTGGTCTTGAACTCCTGACTTCAGGTGATCCACCCGCCTCCCCTCCCAAAGTGCTGGGATTACAGGCATGAGCCACGTGCCCGGCCGCTCTGTGGTGTTTCTGATGGAGGTAAAACCATCCAGTGGTATGGCATATGTCATTATGCGACATTGCTCCATGGCCTTTGTGCCAAAAGATGCCACTACATTTTGCCTACCCAACCAGAGTCACAGGACAGTAAAGTGAGGAGCAGGAGACATGTGTGACCCCAGTCTGCTGAGTGCCTCAGTGGGTCCTCGTTGGCTCTTCCTGATATTAGGTGCCAGCTGCAGAGTCTTCCTGCCTACCCTCTGCTTGCACAGGGCAAGAATAAAAGGAAAATGGGAAGCGGGTAATCTCCCTACTCCAGGAGTTATCTGGGGAGGGAGGGAAAAAAGGCACCATCTCAGCGCTTAGACCTGTGATCTCATTCAACCCTCAGACCACTCTGAGCAGATCCTGTTAGCTATGGGGTAGGCAAGCATTCCAGCCTGGAGCCTGAGCCTCCAGCTCCTTGGTCTGCTCCTCCACACACACTCAGGCACAGAGAGGCACAAGCAGGAGGATAAGACCCGCCTAGATTGCTCTACGGTGGCGGCCGGCCCTGGCTGCAGGTCCGTGGCTTTCTGGCCTGAGGGCTGAATTAGGCCAAGGGTGTGAGTCGGGATTCCTGCTCCCTACAAAGGGACAGGTGCACATGCTTGCCCCATTCTCACCAACAGTCCTCACCTTCCTTCCATGTTAACTCTGTGGGTGGTGTGTGTGGAACTGTGTGTGTGATGTGTCTACTATGTAGGGTGTGTGTGGCATGTATGGTGGACATGTGGTATGTCTAGGGTGTGGTGTGTCTGGTGTACAATATGTGTGGATTTTGTCTGAGGACCCACTGGCCACATCAGTGAAGGGGAGAAAAAAAGAGGCAGGGGGAGGCTAAGGCAGGGCACGGTGGACCATTTGAGCCCAGGAGGTAAGGCTGCAATGAGCCATGATCAGGTCACTGCACTCCAGCCTGGGCAACAGAGCAAGACCCTGTCTTTAGAAAGAAAATTTAAAAAGGCCAAGTGAGCCCAAAAGCCAAAACTCTCTGCGTAAACGAGTGAGTCCACCAACAGAGCAGGGCAGGAAAGAGTAGGTGCTCACACCGGGTCCACCAGTCCCGCTGATGACCCGCCTCTGCTCCTTGGCATGCAACCCTCCTGTGTGTCCTTACCAGTACTGAAACTGTTCCATGGTGGTGAAATGGGGGAAAATGAGATTCCCCCAATGGCTAGTTAATGCCACCTACAGCAGCATTGTCTTCTTGTAGAGATAAGCAACCTGAACTCCAGAAGGTCAAGTGCCTGGGCCATGCTGCACAGCTATGCATGGGGCAGGGTTAGAGTCCACACTGAGAGCTGCTGAACCCTGCTGCACACTCACTGCAGCACCCGCACCACTCCACTGCAGGCTTCTCCCTCCCTGACTTCCACCTCCTCTCCTTCCTGATGCTTTCTGAAGGACCTCCGTCTCCCAGAGGCTCTGATCCATGAACCTTTTCACTTTTAACTACGTGATAGTGGAAGATGAAAGAACTAACTGCTGCATTAGTTCATTAGTTCTCAATACTGAGTAATGAGTGTTTTAAACTTACCAGGTTAAAACAGCCAGCATGGCTGGGAGCGGTGGCTCATGCCTGTAATCCCATCAGTTTGAGAGGCTGAGGTAGATGAATCACCTGAGGTCATGAGTTCAAAACCAACCTGACCAACATGATGAAAACCCATCTCTAGTAAAATACAAAGTTAGCCAGGCATGGTGGCTCATGCCTGTAATTCCAGCTACTTGGGAGGCTGAGGCAGGAGAATTACTTGAACCTGGGAGGCAGAGGTTCCAGTGAGCCGAAGTCATGCCATTGCACTCCAGCCTGGGCAACAAGAGGGAAACTCCAACTCAAAAAAAAAAAAAAAAAAAAGCCAGAATTTATACCCTCACACTTTCTGAGAGTCTGGTGTCCCAGGTTGGCATAGCTGGGCATCTCTGGCTCAGAGCCTCCCAGAAGGTTGCATCAAGCTGTCAGCTGAGGCTGCTGTCATCTGAAGGCTCAACTGGGGCTGCAGGATCCACTTTTAAGATAGCCCCCTCACATGGCTTCTGGCAGGAGGCCTCAGTTCCTTACTCACTGTTGGCAGAAGTTCTCTTAGTTCCTTGCCACATGGGCTCTCCATGGGGCTGCCTGCACGTCCTCACGACCTGGCAGCTTTCTAGGGGAGTGATCCAAGAACAAGAGCAAGGAGAAAGCTGCACTGCTTTCTCTAACCACGTCTCTGAAGTGGCACAGATTCACATCCATTGCTGTTGCAGCTCATTTTTTCTATATGTTAAAAGCAAGTCACTAAATCCAGTTCACACTCAAGGACAGGGGAATAAGGCTTCACTCTTCAGAAGAGGAATAGCCAAAAACTTGTGGGCTTTTTTTCTTTCTTTTTTTTTTTTTTTGAAGAATGAGAGAAATAAAGAAAAAGAATAAAAAAAAAAAAGAAAAAGAATAAAGGAAAGGAAGAAAGAGGAAGAGGAAGAGGGAGAGAGAACAGGGGTGTTGCTTTATTGCCCGGGCTAGAATGCAGTCTAAAACTGGGTATGCCTGTAATTGTGTTTAATAATAGAGACATAAAAAATAAAAAAATAAAAAAATAAAAATAAAAAATGAGGGAAGAAAATAATTAACAAGCAGCCAACCAATATTTCATTTAAACCTATAAATATGTGTGATGTAGTACTGATAAGAGTGTATATTTTGTGTATTTAAAGTGGAGAGTTCTACGAATGTTAACTAAGTCTACTTGTTCCAGATCTGAGTTCAAGTCCTGGATATCGATGTTAACATTCTGTCTCATTGATCTATCTAATATTGATGTTGAAGTCTCCCGCTATTATTGTGTGGGGGTCCAAGTCTCTTTATAAGTCTTATATATCTGGATATTTCTGTATTGGGTGCGTATATATTTAGGATCTTTAGCTCTTCTTGTTACATTGATCCTTTTATCTTTATGTAATATCCTTCTTTGCTTCTTTTGATCTTTGTTGCTTTGAAATCTATTTTATCAGCAAAAATTGCAACTCCTGCTTTCTATTTATTTATTTTAGCTCTCCATTTGGTTGGTAAATTTTTCACCATCCCTTTGTTTTGAGTCTTTATGTATCCTTGCATGTGAGATGGATCTGGATGTAGCATACCAATGGGTCTTGGCTTTTTTTGCCTGTCTGTGTCTTTGGATTGCGGGATTTAGTCGATTTAAATTTAGAATTAATAACAATATATGTGTGTTTAATACTGTCATTTAATGTTAGCTGGCTGTTTTGCCCATTAGTTGATGCAATTTCTTAATTATGTTGATGTTCTTTATTTTTTGGTATTTTTTAGAAAGGCTGATACTGGTTGTTCCTTTCTATTTGTAGTGGTTCTTTCAGAAGCTCTTGTAAAGCAGGCCTGGTGGTGATGAAATCTCTGAGTGCTTGCTTGTTCACAAAAGATTTTATTTTTCCTTCGCTTATGAAGCTTAGTTTGGCTGGATGTAAAATTCTGGGTTGAAAGTTTTTTTCTTTAAGGATGTTGAATATTGGCCCCCACTCTCTTCTGGCTTGTAGGGTTTCTGCTGAGAGATCTGCTGTGAGTCTGA